CCCACAACGGAGACCGTGTCCGTCAAGCCGTCCTCGCAAGCCCTGGCAGTTCCGGGGTTACTCTGCAGCCAGCCGCAGAAGCTACAAGCAGCAGATCGATGCCGCCTGAAGAAAGAGCTTGAGTCCATGTCCTGCACAGCCGCCGCTTGGTCCTGCGAGCAAGTCGGCGAAAGTGCTGGCCGTGGGGTGCCGGTTCCCCAGAACGCTATGCTCTCGCCCCGCCGCCCGGCCTGGCTACACCGGCCACGGCCCCGCCGAAAGAAGACTGGCCCGGTGGTGAAGGTGCCGCCGAAGGTCCACGGCTACAATGCGCCGCCTGCGCCCGCTCATGACATCTCATGACGACCATGCTGGCGGAGGTCTTCAGACTTCACCGAGCCCTATTCCGACACTGTGGTCCCGGACATGGAGCAGGTTGTGATGGAGCTGTGAGGCATCTAGACAGACCCACGCCCCGCTGCGTCCACGCACCTCGCTCCTATCGGTGATTACTTTGACCAGGTGGTGATGCCTCCGCTACCGCCGGTGCCGGACAGAACAACGTGTTGCATCGAGTGACATGTACGAGCGACAGCAGCAGACTCTGCACCTGCTGTCCGCTCGAGACTCGAAAGCTTTTCAAGCCCACCCACCCCACCCTGGGTGTTTACAGTTGCTCAGAGTTGTTCGGTGATTTGCACCGCTTCGCATCGGTCGCGTCCGATACGTTTCGAAACGATGTGCGAGACCGGTTGCATGTCGCCGCCTGCCGCTACACATCCAAAACGTGTCTAATCATAATCTTGCGCGAAAGCGAGATGCCTAAAGTTCTGAAGCAATTGAACCGCAGCAAAAAAAAAGTACAATCCGGTTCTCGTCGGTGGAGAAGTCGGCCCATTCTGCAGCACGCGAATGTGAGGAGGAAGTAAGCGTGGGGCAAGCAAATTTCCTTCCAGCTTCAGGAATAAGCAGGTCAAGAAGAACGATGGAGCAAGTGAGAGGAATCATAGGCAGCCAGCAGGCAAGCAAGCACCAAGCAAGAAGGTAGATTGTAGAAGTGGCAATGTACGTGTGCAGGAGCCCGGCAAAAGTCGAGCGTTGGTGGGTTCGGTTGAGCGCAAAGCCGACCACCTGACCTTGGCTGTCAAGCGTTTACCGAACAGGCTTGGCCCATACGGCGGAAGCAACAAAGCTGGCTTGCTGCCTCTTGCAGGTGGATCAAGAAAGGGCATGGTGAGCGGCAGCCTGAGATGGCAGGGCAGCTTGTAAATCTTGCAAGAGGGCCATCGAAGCGTTTGCGGTAATGATAGCTGCATTCGGCAATGCAAGGTTCGCAACGAGCAACCCACAAAGCTCAGAGAAGCCCTGGGTCGACATTGGGATGCTCCGGTACCTCAATGCACTAGGGCAGCTTGGCTGGCCCAGCTGCTCCCAAGTCTGTCAAAACATCGCTGAACACGCTCATGTGTTGTGTGAAAGCCGTGTAATTAAGTGATCGGTCTTGATTCGGGCCGGGGCGACAGTTGGCAGTGGATGCCCCGTTCAGTTGCTTGATGATTGCTCCATTGCTTGTCCTGTATCAAAAATGCACGATCACGAAGCGTGTCTAATTTACTGTGCAAGGATATGGGGTAAACACGAGCAGGTCTCGAAAGTTTGAGAGGACGGGGTCAGATAAGGTGCCCGTCACAGTGACATGCTTTTCGTGCAGGCCGTAGGATTCCGCAGGCATAAAGTCGGTCTCTTGTATCAACATGGTGCTCGTCTCCTCAACGATGCTTTGTAAGGTTTCCGCATGTGTGCGATTTGATGGGCATCTTTCGCGACGATGACTTCACGTATGTGGCGACACCGCTGGATGCCAAGTTCGGATGCAAGTATTGACAGAAGTTGTGCAGCATGTTCATCAGGCTGGCGACCGAAGGAGACTTGTTCCACTGGGTGGATGGGGCTTTTTTCAGTTCCCCGCCATATACGATATTCGCTAGTATGTGATTCTTGGAGTACTTTATGCGGTTTTGCCTATGTTTTTTAGGTTGTTTATCTGTTCAGTGATATGCCTTGATACTACTTAGTTGGATTGTTGTATTTCGTGTTTCAGGGGTTCAGGACACCTCCAATCAACAGCGAGCTCAGTGCAGGAGATTTATTCCACTGGGTGGAACATGCATCATGTCCACCTGGCAAAGAGCGTGAAAGCAGCTCAGCTGATTCCGAGTCATCATGTCCCTGCCTCTTACAGCACTTGGCAGCACGTGTGAGACTCTGCTCCAGGCTAGTTGTTGTGTAAGTGGTTCACGCGTCGAATGGACTCTAGACAGGGTTCGATGAAAGATTGCCGCTTGTTTCCCTGACTTTGTCTACAACATTGCCTCCAAGAAGCCTCGTGATGCACGCAGCCACCCCTTGCCCTAGCTAGGCCTCGGCACGGCCCGGGCATAGGTGAGTCTGGCTTAGCTTTGCGTCCGCCCAGCAGCCAGCAGTCTTGATTTGGGATGATTCATGATCAAGTTCAGATGCCTGTGATTATCCTAAACGGATGAAGTCTGATGAGAAGCATCAGGTGTCCCGACTGTCGCCCAGAGCTCTAATTCACCTGCACGGATGCTATTGTGGGTTTGAGGTGCAAGTGAGCGTCTTCTGTCGTCTTGTCCCGCCGGCAGTCCAACTCCAGAGAACATGAGGCATTATCCGTCCTATGATGGTGCAGGTGTGCTTGGGCTGCATCTTGGGACTTTTTGAGCCTCAGAGATGCCGGTGTGGAGGAACCTGAGAGAGACCAAGGTTTTCAGCTGTGAAAGAGCTGCACGAGATTGGCATTGCGCATCGTGACATCTCACTAGCTCTCCAGCTGAACCAGAGCACGAAACCTTACTGATGGCTTGTTTGCTGCCTGATCATGGTTTTCTTTCAAATTCCATGGATGATCCACAGACCCGACTCTGAAAGGCTGTGCTGTGAACGTAACCGGCGCTCTGAGGCAGCACAAACTCACAAACATGCATCAGAAGAGTGAGTGTTTCAAGAACAACGGGATCCAATGAGCAGTCCGAGAGACCATTCTCTGCTGGTCGAGCCGAGGAGAATATACTGTTGACACGACGTCCGGATGGAGGCTTGCATGCCACGCCGAAGATGAGCGAGATTGTACGAGGGGGACCCATTTTTTGCCCTTTATTATTATTTTTTTCATTTTTGGCCGTTATTTTTTGGTGGTGGTGGTGGTGTTGGGGGGGTTCTCTGTATTTCCATATGTTCGTAAGGCAAACGTATTTTTCTTTGTATTTTAATAAAAAACCTTCTTTAAAGGTCTATTTCCTCTTTATTGTCATGGGACTGGAAGGGAAGAAGGTAGGGACGGAACGAAGGAACGACAGATCGAAAGAAAAGGACAGAAAATGAACGAGAGAAAGGGAGAAATAAAGAAAGAAAGAACGAACCAGATGAAGAAAGAAGGAGTTGGGCGGGCAAGCCGTGCAAGCTTGCTTCAAAGCAAAGGAGTCTTTTTGAAGCCCATCATGCGAGCATTGTGTTTGCAACTGGCGCGGGGCTGCGCCCCCTCCAGAACCCGCCTTTTCAGCCGTGCAAGCTTGCTTCAAAGCAGTCTCCATGCGAGCATTCTGTTTGCAACTGGGGGGGCTGCGCCAACCCGGCCGCTTTTTGAGCCGTGCAAGCTTGCTTCGCAGCATATACGTCTGTTTTGAAAGCCATCATGCCCAAACCCGCCGCTGTTTTCAGCATTCTTTTTGCAACTGCGAGGGGGCTGCGCACTCCCCAACCCCTACTTGTTTAAGCCGTGCAAGCTTGCTTCGAAGCATGTGAGTGTTTTTGAATCCTGTTGTGCGAGCATTCTGTTTGCAAGTGGGGGTGGTTCAAGCCTCGCAAGCTTGCTTCAAAGCTTTTGAGTTTCCTTGACTGAAACCCATCATGCGATCATTGGGTTTGCTGCGCCTCCCCGCAACCCCTCTTGAACATATCAGAAATAGAGGTTAGCCTACGAAAATATATAAAAAACAGATTTTCCTCTGAAAATATAGAGATAGTAGAGATATACTTTTGAAGCATTGAGAAATTACAAAGTAGGGTCTGTTTGCCTCATGAAATATCAAGAAAATAGAGGTTTTCTAAGAGAGTATATAGAAAATGGTGGGAGAAAATATAGGCTTTCGCTGTGAAATTATGGCCAAAACAGAGGTTGTCCTATGGAAATACAGAGAACCACCCCCCTCACAAAAACAAAGGCCAAACACAAAGAAAATAAAGCGCCAAAAGCAAATCTCCACCCTTGTACGAGCACTGGAATTTGTGCGCGTCATAATTGTGATCCTGGTGTGCAGCGAAGGCAGCATCGAGCGCCGATCTACTGAATCCACTGATGACATTGGCCTTAGGGGACGATGCACGAGGAAACGCCTGATGCGACAGATTCCAGCCGATGACAGAATCAACCGAACCATTTGCTCACTTTGTCTGTGCCTGACCGTTAAAGATGCCGACTCACCAGGTCCGCAGATCAAAGTGATCGACTTCGGCATGGCCACGCTGCGGCGAGGCTGTTTTAGCATGATCCGCGATAGCATCAGTTGTTGGTATTCTGGTGAAGCTCGATTTCAATCTCAGGTCCCAGCGGTGTAGTGCAGAAGTTCGTGGAAAACAAGCTTACCAGGCCAGGTCCGGGTTTAGATTCATGATCACCGCAAGCCTTGCGAGATGCGAGGCTCCCGAGATGCACACCGATATCGAATACGATGCCTTCCTCGCAGATATTTTTGCTGCTGGAGCACCCTGGTGCGGAAGATAAGATGTGGCTTGCACCTGCCATGGAAAGGTTGAACCTCAAGGATCGGCACCCTAAACGACTGGAGTGCCACTGGCGTAGTCACCCTGAAACTAATCACCGACACTGCTAGACTCTGCGCAGATTTCTCCACTCAACAAGTGCTCGGGAAAGGTACAAGCTGTCTTGCCAATCTTAACCCTGTCACCCGTGCATGCCCGCTAGAAACCAGCTGCGATAACAACATCCAGCAGAATCTAGCCTAGAGTTGACACCCGTAATGGCTGGACGTGCTTTTGCATGTTGTGGTATGCTACAAGGTCGTTTTGTACGCTATGGCTCTCAGCGATTATCCGTGGACCTGCACTAGGGCAGGCTCCTGCAGCATGTTCGAGTCTCCTGGCATGTGTTTATAAACAAGTTGACGATGTATTCTGACATTGGCGCACGGTGCTGTTCTTTCTAGCCTTCACATTGCCAGCCATGTGTTGTGTTGAAGCCGAGTTTCATTCACTCCTGGGGTTTTCCGGAATTCATCAAGAACCGGAAGTGCCGAGCTGCCTCCAAGACTTACATTGTCCAGGCCGGCACTGCGACAGGGATGAAGCATGCTTCAAACATTTTCTCGCAGCCAGCGAGGCTGTTCGTGCGAAGGAAAGACTTGTTGCAGGTGTTGTCGCCTTCGCTATGTGAGCTCGTGGAGGGTCTCCTTGAGCTCCACCCTGAAGAGCGGTTCTGCCTCGGAGAGCAACTTGCTCTTGTATGGACGACGTGTCTGAGCTCGAGGTCACTTGTTGTTGGGACTTGCTGTGGACGCACTGAGAGTATGAGGAGACTCGACCCCCGCTTTCCCCCACCCGCTCCAGCCGGTGCACTAGAGTCAACAGAGCGACCGTGCTGTATTTCCGCATTGGCATGCAATCACACGTTTTGTCCGAGTGTCTTATTCATGGTGCACACTGGGTTCCAGGGCATGAAGTTTTTTGCCGCCTCCCGATTGAGAGGTCCAGGCATCAAAGAGCAACAACTCTATGAATCGGACAATCACAAATCATAGTCACCCCTGAGGACTGTACTTGGAACACCCATGAAGTGGACAAGTATTTGCATCTTTGACAAATGCATCCATGCCAAGACCTCTCAGCCCGTCGAGCCACAGCTTGGGTTTACATCATGTCCGGTTTAGGGTTGGGGGTTTACCGGATGCGATACTCCAGAGCCTTTAGCTGCAGAGCAGTCCACACCCTCGCACCGAGAATCATCAGCCAGTTGAGGAAACACCGCCTTTGTTACCGGTATCTGAGGTCATGTTTTGATGTGCAGGGTCCGAATGGTCGATGGTCAGCCTGGGATATGGCCTGCTGGCATACATGGCATGAACGGCATCCCAGATATTCCTTTTGCTATGTGCATTCTGCATGCAATTATGTCTTCAGGCATGGATGAAGCGTGCAAATTCCCGGGAAACCTGCATCTTGGCGCACGTGGAAACTGTTTCCGTTCCGTACTGAATCTCTGATGCGTACCAAGGTGCTCTTTGGTAATTGGCATAGTCGCAGCACGTTTTCGAATTTGTATGTACCGTGTGGGCAACGAGCATCCGCTGGGTGATTGCCCTTCTGCCCGGTCCGAAGATCTGCAATGCCACCTTGTGGCTTTTTGACTTTCGACCCGCGGTGGCCATTGGCCAGTGCGTTTGCTGGTGAGCCAATCGATGTCCTCCATGACTCGGTTTCTGCCGCGACCATGGATACTTAGACCCTCGGGCCCTAGCTCAAACACTGAGATCTTGCAAAGCGGAGGACTTGACTCGTTCGCCAACTCAAAGGCTTGAACGTGTCTCATTTGCCCCTATGTGTAGAGGAATATCAGGGCGGGGCAGTTTGACGTTTCGATTTGAGAATTTGCAAAGCATGCTCAAATTAATTCAGTTTCACATCTATTGGTTCGTGGTAGCTTTGGGTGCCCATTTGCACCCAGCAACCCTTTCAAACTGCATTGTCATCGACAGGCAGCAGATGGGCTCGAAGCGGAACGAATCACAACACAGATTTGCAACATTTTTGAGCTCCAACGTAGCTGTAGAAGGTTAGTCTAGACCAGGAGATCCTGGCAATTCCACACGGGTCTGCTGTGTACGCTTTGGCAGCTGACTTGAAGACGTGAGATGTTCGGCTATGTCCGAGCTGCATATTGATTTCCACCAGGTGTGAGCAGCTCCAGGTCAGTCGAGGAAAGTCTGTTCGAACTCCATCTCAAGTCTGCTTGAACTCTTTGATTCGGTGCACGACAAGGATGTGGTCATCACGGCACATATGTCAGCAGGCATGCATAGGCATGCCATTACCATCGTCCTACGTGCTTCGAGTCTCACCCCGCCGTTGTGGCAGCTGCAAGAGCAGCTCATTCAGAAGAGATCTCTTGTTTGACGTGCGTTCCCATGTCCAAGCTTTCGGCGGATTCTGCTGTTACTGATTCAGCTGATGATCCTCCTGCGTATGTGTCATAGTATTTTCGCATCCAACATACATGCATCTGCTTTGTTGCCGCACGAGGACGGTCTCAAAGCACAAGCTAGAAAGATCTGCGTGCATGAGCCAAGAGTCTACAGTAGCTACTCTAGTTACAGTCTTATGGATGCAGTCACCACGGCTTCCTTTCATGGAAACGGCTTCCACTCGTCCCGTAGTGCTATAAAATAGGCATGGCCGGAGCCTATGGCAGTCCAGGCCGTCATCAAGTGGGACTGTTGTGTGCATCGCTATGTTGTGCTGTGCGCTATGTTGCGCTGCAAGATGCTCTGCAAGGAAATGGGCTTATGCCCGAAGTTGTCTCATTTGCCCAGAAGTACGGCTTGGCAGGGCCAGCACAGGCCTGGGGCTCCGTCACGTCCAGTGAGTCCAATGGCTGCTAGACGAAACCCAGGAGGAGCTGCAGAAGCTCATGCACGCTTCCGCCCCCTGGCCTGTAAAGAGCCGGAAACCGGAGCAGCGGAGCTGTCGGTGCTGGAGGTTGCCCTGGCACAGCGCCGTGTGACGGTCTCTGTGCCCGCTACTGTGGCCAACTTGGGGCCTGGCTTGGAGACTGTTGGTTTAGCCGAACCCTGAGATGGCAGTCTCGTATTTGGGACGGTTGGGCTCCCACCTCAAACTACCAGGTGCGCAAGGTAAGCACCCCCAAGAGGCACAGATCACATGTGGAGGCTTCGAAAGGTGTCATCCGAGGTTTGATCCTTAATTCCGGCACATATCAGCATCAGAGCCTCAGCAAAGCACCCTGGTCGCTCCATCGGATTCAAACAGTAGTGTCCGGTTCGTTTTTGTGCATGCTGTTTGCCTTTGAGCTCTGTGACCAACAGCTACATGCAGGCAGACTTGTGTCAGCCCAGAAGATCTCAAAGCCTATTCAGACCTTGAGAACGCGGCTACACACAGCCGTTTCATTTCAGAGTGTTTTGGGCTTGCATGTAAAGGCCGGATAGGAGATGGTGGGCAGAACTACGATTGAAATCCTCGCATCAGAACTGTAGTGAGTTGCTGCTGAAATCCAGCCCTTTGCCCTCCGAAATCCTTCAACTGCTACTTCGACACTCGTGCAGCATACAAATGTTTGTCGAGTTTCCCGAGGCTGTTGATATTTGGGACGAGTTTACGCTGGAGTTCTCGGATCACTTCAGCGTCGAGCTGCGGGGCACAGACATCGCTGAGGCGGCGGTTCCTACGAGCGGGGATTGGTCAGGCGGCGAGGCGGCGAGGCGGCGAGGCGAAAGCCCAGTCCTGAACGCAGGTACCTCGCACGGAGGAGAACCTGGTGGTGCAAGGGGCTGCAGCTGCGTTCAAGGCAAGCTGATTTGCCCGCTTGTTGATCCCCAGCACTTTCGACAGGAGCTTTCCTTTAGTATTCAAGCGGATCTGTGCAACGAGGTTTCCGGCAGACATCTACCATCGCTGCGGTTCATCTGTGAGCATAGAATACCCTTCAACAAGGTGCGCGCCACATTCAATCGATGCAGCAAGGCATGATGAACCATGATTTTCGGTTGCTCTGCCGAGGGTCTTGGCGCTGCAAGCGCTTCCTTCGTCGGTGGTTTCCTGGCAGCATCCGTGCTCTCCGCCGAGGTGCACTGGAAAGACCCTCCTTTAAGTCACGTGTCCTCTGCGCTCTGCAGGAGTTGAGGCTGTCACCGAGAGCAGAGCTGCCAGAGCAGGTGTGTGAGGGAGCGGTAGGATTTGTTCAGCACTGTCTTCAAGCATTTGTTGACTTCAGCAGGAAGAGGTGGTCAGGGCGCGATCTGGTACTTTCCCCGATGGGGCCGCGAACTTTAAAAGCCTCATCATTCCATGTGCTGCCTTCCTGGATTACCGGGTTCTCTTCCTGTCCTTTGAGGTGCCTTGTGAGACTTCGAACGTCGACGCACTGCTTCAAGCGTTCTTGGCTCAGTGCACCACCAATTTGCAGCATGGCACCGCACTGCCTCCCTGCCTCCTTCCTCGAATTTGCTTAGGACAATAGCACGTGGATGGAATCCCGGAAATGTGTGCCTCTGCATCGACGAAATCCTCGTTTGTTTTCGCTTGCGACATGCGTAGATTGTAAGGTGTCCAGCAATCTACGGGGCTCTCCAGGCTTGATGACAGGCTTCCGGATCGCACACAGCCGCGCTTAGCTGCAAGCTCTGCCAGATTGGAATCCCAACTGTCTCCGGAACGCGCTCGCATCGCGTGCTCCTTCGAGATGTTGTCACAATGCCAGCATTGCGCCTTGGGAGCACAAGCGGGCTGGACAGGTGCCAATTCCGAACGGCATGGTCTTGTGTCTCTTCGTTCCCGATGCCAAGGAGCTGTGCAATCCATTCTAGATACATGACAAGAGCTGGCAGCACAACGTCACATAAGCTGTTACAGCTGCAACTCCTTGTTGCAACAAATTCAGTCCATCGACAGCCGACAGACCTGCTGAGTTTGGGAAATCTTCACCCGTGTACGCTAATGATGAAATGAGCAACTGGGATAAACCCAGGCCAGAACTGTAATCTACTTTGTCAGTGCTGTGTTAAGGAGGGCTGCTGCGCTTGTTCTTGGGCTGCTGTGGGGAGTGTTTCTTTGGGAACTTGGTCCGTGGCAGGGACCCTGGCACCTCGACGCTTTTTCTCCGATTCTCTTTACTCGGACGAAATACGTCTGCAGCACTCCGGAGCCCATGCAAAGCACACATCGTCGTCACAAAGCACCTTAAAGCACAGGGAGTCTCACTCGCCGTCGATTCAATGTGTGGAAAGAAACGCACTTTTCGCTTTCTTATGACGGTAGTGACTTAGCTTTGCGTGCTGTGCTGCGCCTGTTGGAATTACGGACGGCAGTAAGCGCGAGACCGCCCGGCAGAAGTTGGCTCCTGGTCGCCGTTTGACCTTTGAGGGCATGAGCAGTGTGGCTTTCAAGTCTTTGACTTCCTTTGGTCCGAGGCTCCCGAAGGCGCGCTCTAGCATGATACGGGTCTTCACCCTCCAGTTTGCAGAAAGAAGAGAGAGGTCAGTGCGTGTCGTGCAAACCCGAGAAAACTGCTGTGCTTGTTCGCTATGACCATATGAAGCTTAGCCTGTGCCAGGAGGAAGGCCAGCGCTTGGAGGTGGAGAGCGTGGAGAGACGGAACGCGATCTTCAATGCTCCCCGTCCAAGAAGGGAATGCAGGGAAGGAGCTGCCGCCTCGGCCGGGTGGAGCTCGGCTCAGAGTGGGCGAGGATATGAGGTTTTGGGAGAGATCAAAAGAGTTAAGCTTCAGCAGCCTCGAAGACAGGTGCCGTCGATTTTTTTCAAATTTGGCCTCGACGGGATTCCTTCGGGGTGTGCGATGCTTTGATCGATGTCCAGGTTGGAAGATCAGCGCTACTCATCAACTGCTTCGCAACTCAAGACTTCGGCAAGTTCCAGAAGGCCGCTTTGTCAGGCTTGACAGGACTGTTTTCCATGCCGCCTTGTCAGGCTTCAGAGGACTTCCTTGCAACGCCACTTGTTGCAGACGACATGAAACTAAGCATAGCAGAGTCTCCTGCCCGAGGCCGACTATCCTCGAAAAGTTTCCGCATATCCGCCCCGTGTCTCAGGCTGCCATCAGCCCAGAGAATCATGGCACAGGCAACATCAGGTCTCAGGTCCAAGACATGCGCAGTGCCCCTCAGGCTTTGGCTGCTGGCGCCTCCGGTGCCTGTGCATGTGGCTACGGCCCTTCAGTGCCTCGGTGTGTGATAGTGCTGGGGCATCACCCGACTTTGCGGGGTTGGCAAGGTCATGGCCTTGATTCAGGGCCGCACTGGGGACGTACTCGCGCAGTCTGCATGGTGCCCAGTGATGGTCTGCTGTATGCCGACACAGCCGCGGATGCATTTCAAGGCTTCCAATCAGCTTGAACAGAATGTCGGCAAAGTGCGGATCTTTGGGCTCCGAAGTGCTCAGATTAGATGTCCTTATCATATGTGCCCCAGCAGGGGCACCATCATCCGTCCCCGGCCAACAAATGAACTCAAGGCAATGCTCACAGCCGGAGAGGA